CTCCTACCCACGTTTCAGAAGAATGTCCTCTTCTAGGAAACAACCATGCATTAGAACAGATGAACGCTGTATTTCAGTGCCCTAGAAATGATCCATTTTCTCCAACCTACAATCCAGGTTGGAGAAATCATCCCAATTTTGCTTGGAACCAAGAAAATTCTCATGGAAACCAAAACTTCATTCCTGCGTCGAACCAACAATTCCCTAGGGGAAACGCTGTCCCATTCAATGCACCGAACAATTTTGCTAACCCACCTTTTCCAAACCAACATCCTCATCCTCACCAGCCTACAAATCCTTCAAATTCTGATCATGACAAACGTTTAAGTGTCTTAGAAAAGGGTTTAGAAGCTATGATCAAAGCTTCTACACAAACTACCAACATGTTGACCCAATCATCCACCACTCTAAATTCATTCATGCAAACCACCGGCCAAGTGCTCAACTCGAACACACAAGCCATAGCCCGGTTAGAAACCCAACTTGGGCAACTAGCCGCTGCCGTGAGTGAGAGAGAAAAAGGAAAATTCCCAAGTCAACCTGTTGCAAACCCTAAAGACACTGGATCCAGTTCCAACAACCCAGCTCAACTGAATGCAATTCACACACTGCGATCAGGAAAACAAATAGACAATCAGGTTAGAATGCCACCGGATCAAAACCCTTCTCCCATTCAAAACACTCCTTCCGATGAAACAATTCCTTCCGATGACCAAAATGCTAAACTTGAGATTGAGCTTGATCTAGATAGGTATAGGCCCATTGCCCCCTTTCCAGATAGACTCAAACCTAGGAAAAACTCCCCGCATGTTGAGAAAATCCTAGAAACTTTCAAACAGGTCAAGATCAACATCCCTCTCCTAGATGCAATCGAACAAATTCCCTCTTATGCAAAGTTCTTGAAGGACTTATGCACTAAGAAAAGAACCACCAATGTCCCCAAGAAAGTCTTCTGAGCTGCCAACCTCAGTGAAATTTTTTTGAAACCCATGCCATTGAAAATAAGGACCCTGGTTGTCCTACAATTCCATGCGTCATAGGTAACACTCACATTGATAAGGCACTTCTAGACTTGGGAGCCAGCGTCAACCTCCTTCCTTATTCAGTCTATCAACAGCTAGGTGTAGGAGAACTTAAACCGACAAGATGCACTCTACAGTTAGCTGATAGATCTGTAAAAATTCCCAAAGGAGAGGTAGAGGATGTTCTGATCAAAGTTGGAGAGTTCATTTTCCCTGTTGATTTTATTGTCTTGGAAACGCAGCCCGTTTCCAATCTCAAAAGTCAAATCCCCGTCATTCTAGGAAGACCGTTCTTAGCCACCTCAAATGCTTTGATAAACTGTAGAACCGGTCAGATGAAACTATCTTTTGGGAATATGACTGTTGACCTTAATATCTTCAACTTAGGGAGACAACCTAGTGATCCATCTGATGAACCCATGGAAGTGAATTTCATTCAAGGAATATCCAGTGAACAACAAGAGGGAGAGTGTGAGTCTGATTCAAATGCATCTGATTTAATGATTGAGGAGCTTTCTGATGACGAACTTGAGATAGAACCGCTGGTCAATCATGTTTTTGCTGTTGGCTGGCAACGAGAACCTTTAGAGATAGAACCCCGAGTCCAGCTTCGCCCATCTGTGGAGGAACCCCCTAAGTTAGAGCTCAAACCTCTACCCGAAAATCTAGAGTATGCCTACTTAGGGGAGAACGAGTCTTTACCTGGGGCCTGGACACATTTTTCCCTAGATATAATGATTAGATAATATTCATAAAATTGTAATTTTTATTTCTTAGCTTTAAATTTGAATTAAATTATTTCGAAAAAAGTTGCAAATGATAGTGATATGTGTGAGTAGGTGCCAACCTAGTTGGGATGTACTCATCTATTGTGATGCGACGAATTTCGAAATAAATTTATACTTGTAAAGGATTTACCGATTATTAATAAAGAAGTTATTTTTATTATTATTTTTACTTGTAATTTATGTCATTTCATTTAAAGTTATTAATTAAATTTATGACATTTTTTATAATAATTTATGATTTATGGTTTTGTTAAAATTTTAAAAAAATAAAAAAAAATAATTTTTTTTAAAAAAAAAGCAAACCGGGCCGGCCCGGTGTCCGGCCCGCTCAGGCCTGGGCCCGGCCCGGACCACCTAGGCCCGGGTCCGGGCTTGGGTTTTGCTCGGCCCCGGCCCGGGAAACGGGCCGGCCCGGCCCGGATGGACAGCCCTAGAAAAGATACATAATTGATTGATAGTCGCAAATCTCATCCTTAAGAGGGGAAAAATTTATTTGCCATACAACAAACCTTGATTAGCTCAAATATATCTTCTTAAACCGTTTCATTAGAGGGGGAAAAAATAACTCAAATATATCGTTTTGTTTTCCATATTTTGTAATTTAAGAAAGAAACATTTGAAGAAAAACTATGCATGGTCAAATTCTTTTTTCTACCATATAAAAAATAACTTTTTACAAAAAGAAAAGTCGTAAAGAGCAACCAAAAGAGAAAAAAAAAGGGACGAGAAGAACAAGACAAAATTAAAGAACAAGAAAGAAAGAAATGTTAACCCCAAGCGTTTATCTCATGCAAACTGAGGAATATAATAATTTTATAAAAAGAAAAGTGGTAAAGAGCAACGGTTAAAAAAAAGAGAGAAAAGAACGAGACAAAATTAAAGGACAAGCAATAAAGAAATATTGACCCCAAGCGTTTATCTCGTGCAAACTGAGAAAATGACTTAAAGCCGTAGTATTTAAAAGTCACCAAAAATTAGTTACATTTCACTATCAAACCATGACGTTTCGAACTACCGACAACACCTCGCCTACGCTCATCTGTAATTTAGTAATTATACAAAAAAGTGGGAGCATAAGGAACACGTGCTTTTCTAACTTTGTAAAAATTAGTGTCCTGTAACTTCTATAAATTCAATAAATAATCAACTCCCTTTACGTGTCTAATCTTATTGCGACAGGTTGGCCCTCCGCAATATATTTCCTTATTTTTTATCCTTTAGCTTATAAATATTTCCTTATTTTCTGGAAGGAAAATATTCATTATTTATTAGTGTCAATTCTACCATACTTTTCTTAAGGTGAATTGACAATAGGGACCATCTATCACTAAATTTTTTTTTTTTTGAGAAAAAGGATGGATTACTATATAGTAATCCAGCCAGCTAAATATAACTGGTTGTTACATATAAAATGCACATTTCCCAACCAAAAAATGTGCACAAAAAGTCAACTGAAAATACAAAAGCACCAAAACCCTTTTGTACAAAGATTAAAACTCCCAAAAGAAAGCTTAACTACCACAAAAGAAGTATCATATCCAACAACAATCTTACTCATCACTATATAAACTAAAGCACTGAAGATTGAGGTTAATCCAGTTGAATCACGATACTGGTCTCCTCCCCTGTAGCTCCAGCTGGCTGAATCACCCCCAGTCTCTCATTCTTCTTCTTTCTTCTTGCTAACAATCTGGCCGCTCTATCTGAGATTGTAGAACCTAGCCAAAATGTAGAAAAAATCATAATCTTATTCAAAATCTCCAACGCTCTCTTCTTCTTGTTAGAAAAGAGTCTATCATTGCGCTCCTGCCATATGCACCAAAGAAGAGCACAAAAGAGAACGTCTCTTTTCATCTTGCATTCCTTATTTCCCCCAGCAGTCCAATTAAGCCAAACTTCTTTTAAGGATTTCATTTTGAAGTCTTTCCCAATCTTTAATTTGAACTGAATAGATTTCCAAAGTGAGAATACAAACTCACATTCAATAAACAAATGAGTATGACTCTCTTCAACTTTAGAACACAAAACACAATTCAGCTCCAACTGAATTCCTTTTTTAGTCAAAATATCTTTTGTATTTAAACTCTGTCTTAAAGCTAGCCAAACCATAATTTTCACTTTTAAAGGAATGGAAAGCTTCCAGATATCTGCACAATCAAAACGTAAACCTCCATCAATAAGAAATTGATAGAAAGATTTAACAGAAAAAATACCATTTGTTTCCCACAACCAAATTCTGCTGTCTTCTTTTTGAACAAATTTTGTATCCTTGATGAGATTCAGTAAATTCAAAAACTGAAAAACCAAACTTCCTGTCAATTGCCTCTTGAACTTAATATCCCATATCCAGCTATTATTCCTTTTTTTCCTCAAATTGCTAACTGAAGCATAAGGATGGGAAGTGATAATAAAGAGGGATGGGAACAAAGAAGCAAGGGTATATGAGTCTAACCATTTATCAAGCCAAAATAAAGTATGTTTTCCTTCTCCCACCTCCACACGAGTACTGCATAAGAAACTGTCAACATTGAGAAAAAGATTTTTCCAAAAATAAGATAACTGACCTCTATTTGAATGAATGAATTCTGACCAATCTTTTCTTTCATAGTATTTATAAAAACTGATCTGTTTCCAAAGCACCTGTTTATTCTCAAACCATTTCCAAAACCATTTCCCTAATAAAGCTTTGTTCATCGTTTTCAGATTTATAATTCCCAGTCCACCAAACAACTTAGGTCTACATATCTCCTCCCACTTGATCAAATTTGTACAACTTTTATGATCTAAAGACCCAGTCCATAAAAATCTTCTTCTCATCCTATCAATCCCATGAAGGGAATAAAAAGAAGGATAACCAGAAATTAGGCATCGAAGATAGAACTGAGTTAATTAAAACCAGTCTACCCCCTCTAGACAAAGTTTTGCCTTTCCACAAAGCCAGCCTTCTCTCAATTTTTTCAATCAAAGGAGACCAATCATCTTTTGTTAATTTTCCAGGCCTCAAAGGAATCCCCAAATAAGTAATGGGGAAACTCCCACTTTTACAATTCAACATAGTAGCCAAGCTTTGTTGTAAAGAATCATTATTCTCAAGAGCTATAAGAAAACTCTTGTTAAAACTGATTTTTAACCCTGAGGCAAGTTCAAAACAGTATAAAATCAGCTTTAAAACTGTCAGATGTTCCTTTTTATTTTTACAAAATATCAGTGTATCATCTGCATACTGTAAGCAGCAAACTTTGTGAGTCATATTAGAAGGACCTAAACCTTCAATAAGTTGATTTTTTTCAAGTTATCTTGATTTATACATTTTTTTTTAAAGACTATATATACTTACACATATATATATTAAAAAAAACTAACCTTATAAAAGAAGAGTGCGAAAAATGGGCACCACCCAAAAAAAATAAATAAATAAAAACTCTTAAATTCAAGGTGATTCTATCTTATAAAGCCTAAGTTGACTGAGCAATTAAGCCCAAGGAGTATCTCTATACTTAATGACCTAAGCCCAATTGGGTTGGGATTCATTGGCCCAAAACTCGTTAAATGGTCACTTAGAAAGCCCGTTAAAATAGAAAACAATCACCAAGAATTAGAGAGTGGAAAAAATATACATATATATAACACTAACAATTGTTTTTATATATTGTTGTTTTGTATATATGGTCTTGAAAAACAATTTTTGATCAAGAGACTTGAAAGTTATTTAAAACAAAGAGTTGGCATGTTCTTTTCAAAACTTTTTAATTAAATTTCTAAGATTTGACTTGGTTTTGTATTGCTATAATGAAAAAGATTTTCTAGAGGATTTATATTGGAGTTATATATAAAAACGTTTTCTTGATTATTAACTAGCTTCAATTAGAATGTTTAAATATATCAAGGAAAATCTGTTATTTACTGACTTAATTAACTTGGCAAGTTGACCGAATTTTGTGGGTATATTCACTGCAAACCCTCACGAGACTATAACTTGTCCACTAGGGTAACCTAGGGGTTTAAAGGCTTGTTGTATGCGCTAAATACAACCGCGATTCCTGCGAAAGTGAGTTAGGATTTTCTTTTTATTTTCTTTGCTAGAGGACTAGCAAAAGTTTAGGTGTGGGGGTATTTGATAATCACATTTTATTATAATTTTTACATGAATAAATATACCATTAATAATTATTTTTAGATTAGTTTATATATAAATGAATAGAAATATAAATAAATATTATTAAATATAAAAACCCCTCAAAAATCTCTCTTCTCTATTTTGTAGCATGAAGCCCATTAAGCAAGTAAAGAAAATGATCAATTAAAGCCAAAAACCAAAATGTCCAAAAGAAGCAAAATACTCTTTATTCTCAAATGAGCTTGGATGCAAATAGTGGAATGAGATGGACTTGAATGCAAAGTCCAATATGTTGCAAGAATGTAGGCTTGAATGTGATTTCTCAAGTGAAAATCACATGGACGGGACCTGGACTTGAAGCTTGAAAGGTCCAAGGTTGGATTTTTGGAATAAATAAAGCTTGAAGGCCAAGGTTGGATAAATGAAGCATGAAGGCCCAAAACCAAATGAGGACATGGACGTGCTGCAATTGCTTTCACAAAGGAGAATTAATTTCAAATCAAGTGGACCTCTAATCTTCATGGGCCGGATCAAGAAAATCAATTGTTTGCTGCCATTTAATCAAAACCGGACATGATGGAGGCTTGTTGCATGGGCCACTGCAGATACTTTTATTTTTTTTCTTCAAACAAATGGGAAGTGGACCGAATGAAATGCAAGCTGCAGACTTGGATAGATGGGCCGAAAATGAAGACCATATTTGAAATCAAAGGAATGGGCTTGGACTTGTGTGTTGCAATTAAAAGCAATTTTCATTTGATTGTCAAAAAGAAAATGAATCATGAATATGGACTCTATGGGCCGGACTTGCTTGTTCTTTTCTTCTTGGAAAATCAAATGAAAATTGGGCCTTGGAAAATCAAATAAACCAAAGGTGGAGATTTGGCTTGGGGCTCAAGACAAATCTAATGGCTCATATTCATTGAAGATTACTATAAATAGGGGTAGAGAGTGAGGGGTTAGAGGTGTGAAAATTTTGTAAACTCCTTTTGGAGAGGAGGGCTACTCTTAATTGAGAAGGCCTTCCAAAAAATTGTAACTTTAGTTGCAATTAATAAAAATAATTTTTTCCTCTTTAAATTTGTTCTTTCTCCTCTTGTTGAATGATGAGGATGGAGATGAAGAGCAATTTGAAGGTTTGCATTTCTTTTCTCTTTTATTTCTTTTTAGTAATTTCTTTATTATTGCTTATTAGTTAGATTTAAATTCATGCTTGTAGTATAGATTTACTTTCTTGTCTTTTTTATTTTCTTTTTGCACTTTAATTTGTAGAGTAGATTTATTTTTCTTGCATTTAATTTCTGCAATTTATTTTGTAGTTTAGATTTTTATTTTCTTTGTAATTAGATTTATTTCTTGTTCATAGTTTAGATTTTTCTTTTCTTTTTAATTTTGTAATTAGTCTTCTTTTTCTTGTTTTTATTTCTTAAGATGTGAATTTAATTCTTGTAGGAATCTTAGAATTGTATGAAACTAGTCTAATTTCTTTTATGTTGTATGAATTATTCTCTTGTACTTAAAATGTTCATGTTTAGGATAATCAACTAGAGAACTAATCGGTAGAAGAAGAATTTGATAATCTATGCTTATCTTAAATGGTTTGATAGATTATGCTTATGAATTCTAGGATTATTATCATGTTGTTGTTCTTATCATGAATAGTGATTTTAACTTAGATGATAATTTGATAGGTTACACTTTCCTTAAATGGTTTGATAATCTATGCTTAATAAATCTAAGTTGAAATATGATAAAAAGAGAATAGTTTATATTTTGTAATTGAAATTGGTTAGTGGATTATATTCTAGATTTCTTACCTCTTTTGAATCCTTCATCTTAACTTTCTTAAATTTTCTTTTCATTTTTGGTTTTATTTCTTGATTTTATTAATTCATATTTCTTGCCTTATGATTTCATTTATTCTTTAATTCTTTCTTCTCTCCTCTAAAATTCAATTTATTACCTCTTGCATATAAATCAAAATAACCACTCATACAATCACACTTATTCTTTATTCCTAATTGTCACGCACAAAATATAAGAACCAAGTTTAATAATCTCTTGAAATCACCTTCTTCGTGGGATCGATATCTTTTTATACTATAACTTGATAAATTGTGCAATTGCAATTTTGGTACATAATTATGTCGCATCATGATCCAAGAGTCGTTCCTAGGGTTTTTCGACTTGTTGGGTTTATTTTTTATGTTAGTTTTATCAAATTCAATCTCTTTAGTGTCTGATTTAAATTTTGATTGTGTTTAGAGGATGATGACTTCTTCGGGTTCGAAGTTTGATATTCCTCTATTCAACGGCAAGACAAATCTGATGGCAGATAGGGCAAGCGAGTATGCAAGGGATGAGATTGGTGTAGAGAATCAGATATGATTCTAGCAGTAGAATTGTTAGCATATAATTATTCAAAGTCATCGTAGGAGTAGAAGTTGGTTGGTGTGTAGACTCGAGGAGGATAGTGCCAGATTAGGTGGAGCTTGCAAGCATGTGCGACTGAGTGACACACATGCTGATGGAGATGGTGTCATTGGACTTAAAGACGATGAGCGCTCATATTCGATCTAAGCCAAGTGATGGAGGAGATGGAGGCATCTAGCTCATAGTGTGGAGTAGGAGAGGTGCATCGATATGTTTCGAGACGAGCGATGCAGGTGGAGTACGAGGACATCAAGTGGGGGAAGGCTACTGTCAAGTTTAGTTTGGAAGGATAAGCATGGTTGATTTGTTTCTAATGTTAGAGGTGGCGAAGATTTCTTGGTATACACAAGAGAGGTGGAGGCGCCACAGTGAGGCAGATGAAAGTGGGGGTCATAAAGGCATCCGGTTGGGAGTGTAAGTGTTTTAATTTAAAGTGTGAAAGAAATAGAAGACTCTAGCGGGAGAGGTAAAGTTTCAAGATAGCGATGATATATCTTTAAGGGAGTTTAGGAATCAAATCCAAGGTGAAGATTATTGGCCGGGATTGTGTTTTTGATTCTTTGTATAACTTCATGAGAATTAGATAGGGTTAGAGATCTATCATGATTAAGAAATTAGTGTGACGTCCCTGGGTTCACACAAGGCTACAGTCTAAGGTGAAACCAAGAATGTCAAACCTGCCATGCACCACACCGTGTAATAACATGTTTTACCATCATAATTACTATCCCTCTAGTAGAGTCAATAACAGGTGTAGGTACAAAAGCAAGTAAAAGATAACACAAGAGTCAATTGATGAAATAATAGAGATCAGATTAATAGTGTAGGTACAAAAGCAAGTAAAAGATAACACAAGAGTCAATTGATGAAATAATAGAGATCAGATTAATATTTCATCATCTAACATACTGAAATACAAGCACAAGAGTCAATTGATGAAATAATAGAGATCAGATTAATATTTCATCATCTAACATACTGAAATACAAATCAATATCTGGAATGAATAAACTGGAACTCCTCAACAAGTCTCAAAATACATAAAGTATTGAAAAGAGGAAATAAGGCACACAGCCTTTACAACTTCTAGAAATAACTCTCAAAATATCTAACAAAAGCCTACAGTGGAGCTCAAAAGTAAAAT